TCCCTGGCTCTTTCTGAGCTCAGAAAGAACATCATGGTGACCTCCAGCTGGTGTCTCTTCCTGGTTTATTGCCATGAAATCAGGATTTCCTCTTTGCAGAGACTGCTGTCTCTAGCTGCTGTGGAGTGGCTTGGCGAACACGGGCTCCATGAGGTGGAAAATCAGGAACAGGAACAGGCAGCCAAGGAAGACCAGGCTCATCACAGCCAGGAGGATGAAACGGCCGATGAGGAAGGTGTCCACGATCTGCAGGGAAGAGAGACACAAAATTCCCAGCATGTCACACCCCCAGTCTGCTTCAGGACACCACGTCCTGGAGAAAAGAACCTCTGGGGCTCCCCCAGATTTCTCTCCTTGCTTTTTATCCCTGGCATGGGCACTCTCTGGGATGCACATTGTGCGACAAATGAGAACAAGAATCCCTGCAAAAAGCCACTGGGAATGTTAATGTGGAGCAGCACAGTCCTGAGCACAGGGAAGGGACAGGAGTCAAGCCCTGAAGCAGCTCTCCCCAGTCACAAACCTCCAGCCCTGATTCCCTTTTAGAACAGAGATAGTGAGAAAAGAAAAAAAAATAACAATTCAAAAAAAAAGCTATGGTAGGTAGGCAAGACAAAGAGAAGCCCACAGTGAGGAGGCTGTTTATGAAATCCCCTCTCTGCTCCCCAGACCCCCCAGAGCTCTGCTCAGCCCTGGCTCAGCTTTATCCATCGCATTAGCTCAGCCCTGGTGCTCCTGCAGAGAGTCTCTGGTGAGCCAAGCGCCGGCTCCTTCTGCACGTTTCACTTTTTAATTAGCCAATTAGCAGAGTTTTGGTGCAGAAAGCCCAGGTCATGTATTATTGATAGGCAGGGCAGGTCCAGTCCAATTGAAGATCTGTATAAAAATAAGCTTTCCAATTCCATTTGCCTCCCAGGCAACAAACACGCACTGGGCTGCCCTTCATCTCACTCCTAACCTTCACACCAGCAGGGCAGATGTGACACAGAGAGAAGAAAAGAACATTACAAGTGTCTTTTAGTAGGGATTTACACAGAACAAGAACCAGAAGAGCAATAATTAACATGCATTAATAATAGAACATAGGAAATGGCACCTGAAAGGCCACAAAACTTTGTGTATTCAAAGCCCAAAGAGCTCTGGGAGAGCTCAGGGTGGCAGCTCAGCCTGATCCAAAAACTGGGGGAGATCCCTGTGCCTGACAATGCAGATGGCTTTTCATGCTCAAGCACGGCAAGAACCTACAAGAGAGCTAAAGAGCAGTTAATGGGCTTTAATCAGAAAACAGAGCTGAGGGGAGAGGGAAAAGCTGCAGAACTGGAAGGAAAACGATAAGGAAAGGGAATGGCAGAGGGAGCAGAGGCTGCTGGAGCTGGGAGGGAGCGAAGCAGGAGCACAATCCCCGCACAGAGCCCCTGGGGACAGGCGGAGGGGAGCCAAAGCTCCCGGCTCAGGTGGATCATTGTGTAAATCAGCAATTTAGGTAGAGAAATTCATAGTCACCGGCTCCATGAGCGACACAGGCTGTGCCAGCGGGAGACCGGGAAGGAGCCCGGGGCAATCTCCTGGGCACCGGGGATGGTACCGGGGCTGTGGCTGAGGTAAAAGCCCGTTCCCTCCGGGATTCCTCCGGGCATCCTTGCGGCCCATCCCCGCC